GATGTTGAAAAAGATGACAGAATGCACAAGAAGTGCGGTGATGTTGGATGGGGAAATTTCGAAGTACGTGGATATACTCCAAGGAGTCGCACAGGGCTGTACGATGTCACCCACTCTTTTTTAAGATTTACATCAACGATTTGATAAGGGCGGTTGAAGCAGTAAGACAGGGAGTCCAAGTAGAGGGAAAGAGTGTGTCCGGACTGATGTTTGCAGATGATTTCGTGGGGGTATCCGAAACACCAGAAGGGTTGCAAGAACAAATAGATGCGGCGGTAGGATACACCCGAAAATGGAGACTGTCGGCGAACGTAGGAAAATGCGCAGTAGTGGTCTGTAACGAAGATAAGAAAAATCCCGTAGAATTCAAATGGAAATGGGGGGAGGAAGAACTACCGGTAGTAGACAAGTATACGTACCTGGGAGTAGAGATTTCGAAGGAGTGCTCATGGGACGCACACATAGCGAAGTTGATTGGGAAGAGTAAAGCTCAGATAGGCAAGATGGACGAGATCCTTACGGACCCACACCTAGACACTAGGATTAAGAGGTGTATTCTCTTGAATCTGATTGTACCTAAGCTAGAGTATGCAGGAGAGATATGGGAAGGTAACGAAAAGGCCGTCAAGCAGCTGGAAACGGTGCAGATGGCAGCGGCCAAGAAAATATTAGGATGTTCAAGTACAACGAGCAACACTGTATTGAGAGCAGAATTGGGAATGTACTCTCTTAAAACAAAGAGAGAGATGCAGAAGTTGAATTGGCAGTACAAGGTAAGTAGAATGTCGGACGATAGACTACCAGCCATGGTTGACGAGGCAGCTTGGGGAAAAGCGACTCCAGGGAAGAAGGGAATCAGATGGGACAAGGTGGTAGAGAAGGTTTGGAAGGAGATAGGAGACGAGGAGGAGACGTTGGACACGGAAGAGTTCGGGGGGTTCAAGACGAAAGTCAAGGAGATGCTAGAGAGTAGGGAGGAGGCAACCCTTCGGAAGAAGGTACGAAGCGAAGACCACTTGGAGATATACGGGAAGTTGAAAGAAGGGATAGGGATGAAGAAGTACTTGGACGGCCCCATGGACTATGCGAAAAAGCTGAAATTGCAATTTCGAGTAGGCGATCTGGACTTGCCAGAACGGAGGAAGAGGTATACCAGCCGTAGGAGAGAGGAAGAGGAGGATAGACACACATGTCCATGTGGCAAATCGGAGGAGAGTAGACCCCACATAGTTGGGGAGTGTGAGTTGTACAGGAAGGAAAGAGAGGATATCGAGGAGGAAATGAGACAGAGAGGGTGTGACATGGACAAGTTTGGTAAATTAGACAACAGCGAAAAAACGATCGCGATATTTGGGGATAGATGGTGGGCACAAGAGGCCCTAGAGGACGGGGATAAGATGTGCAAGAAATTTTTATGGAGTGGCAGAAACGTAAAGAGCTCCCAAATGTTGGTGGTGTCTCTAGTAGGTGTAGGAACGGTGCTCCGTCTCGAAAGGGACGCGTGGTCAATGGTCAAATGACTACGCCAAGCAACAAATGAGTACGCCCCCCCGCCACAGGCACGAACCGCACTACTGTACAACAAAAAACAACAACGTTTGTCGAGACTACTGTCTCGATGGTGCAACTG